AATTAAAAAAAATCCTAAAGATTTAATAAACACTAAAATAATAACAATGAAAGACATTGTGGTGGTTATGTTTGTGTGTCAACTTTGCTAGGCCTGGTTGAGTGGCTGGGCAGCTGGATGCAGTATTCCCCATGATGAGACTGGTAATCACCTCCATGGTGGAATCTACTGTGAGCAGCTGAGTAGCTTTGCCTTTGGGTATGTGGTCTGCTTTCTGTATATAAGGAGAAGTTTTGAGAATGGTCTCTAGCCTATGGTATGCTTGAACCTTGCATGTAGCTGTGTTATTGCTCAGGAGCCGGCCATGCTCTGCTGACCTTTGGACTTGTAATGAACTTAAGTTAATGGCCTGCTGTGTGGTTTGGTAACATCGGGACTGTGCCTTTTTACTTGTCAACCTTGGGGCTTCTCAGCCTCAGCAGCCTATAGCTGTCTGAGTGAAGAAATGCCTCTAGCTCCAGTGGGCCAGGAGCAGGAGGCAGAGCTGGACTCAAAAATTGACGGGTTCACCCAGCCCCTAGAGCCTGGCACTTTGAACTTGGACTTAAATCCTCCAACTTGTAAGAATAAACTCCTGTTTGTTTAAGCCATCCCATTTGTGGTATATTCTTGTCAGAGTGGCACTAGGTAACCAAAATAGACATGATAAGAAAATCCATGAACAAAATGAACTAAGGAGAGAAAATGAAAAAGAACAAAGAATCAGCAGTAATATAAAAGAACACACAGCAAAATTACAGTGTTGAATTCATAACTATCAGTTATTAAACTGAATGTAGATGGATTAAATGCACAAGTTAAGAGAGACAAAGTAAAAGAATGGATAAAGAAACAAGACCCATCACAATGTTGTCTACAGAAAACACACCCTAGACACAAAGACAAGAACCCAAAAGTGGAAAAATAAATACAATTTTTTTATTGCAAATAACAATCAAAAAAGAGCAATAAAAAAAAAAAATAATAGAGATTAGAGCAGAAATAAATGACACAGAAAAAGACAATA